GTATTTCTCTCTGTGTTACAGCACTCACTGCTGCTGATGCATTTCTATTAGCTATGTGATTCCATAATTTCTCAGCACTAGTTGGCCACTATTTCAAATCCGGCTCTGTTTTCTTATATATGATATACAGCACGTTGTATTTAGATCAGCACCGTTATGTATTTTTCCCACAAAACTATTTTAAAAATTATATCCCATGCATATATGATGTAAAAGTAGTTGTTTTCTCCTATAAATATTTTCTTAAGGAAATAGAAGCGTGTTTTATGCTCTGTTATGTCTTATACAGTCAGAAATAAACTCCTCCCGGATTTATCTGAAAGGAATACCGAATGTGTAAAAAGAAACTCATGTTTAGCAAGCTCTGCACTTTTATAAACTATCTCAGCTCAACTTCCAATAAGGTTGCCAGATAAGATGTAAAATACCTAGTTAAATTTGAATTTCAGATCAGCACGTACACTAAAATTAAGTGTTGATCTGAAATTAAGGATGAACTGGGCGTCTTGGGTTTTATTTGCTCAGTGTAGCCCCCTGTCCTTCAATGACCCTGTGTTGACTCCAATCTGGGTGGCTTTCTCTTGCCCCGCCTCAAATCTGTAGCCAAAGAAAAGAATGACTCTGGACTGTGAAAATCTTGAAATACCCTCCAACACAGAGATGGGAAGGCTTAGCATTTAAAGTCCTGTTGGGTATCTGAGAATAGAGAAGAATAAAGGCTGTTTTCAGTTTATTCTGCATCAGATTATTAGTGTTGGGGTTGGAGTCAGACTGGAAGGAACCTGGGTCATCATTTACTCCAGCGTGGTTTCCCAGATGGAGAGAACAGATCTCAGCCCTGTTATCAGCAGGGCCTAGTCTTCTAGGGCCACCTCTAGGGGGTTACTTTACATAACTGGTGGGTGTTTTCCAATTATGACTCATGTAAGATGTGCAAGATGGCATTTGTGTGACAGGCAGACTGGAAAGAGCCATATGGGCTGAGGCTCTGCAGGGCCCGGGGTGGGAGGGAAGGAGGGAGTGGGGATTCAGGGAGGCTCCTTTGGGAGCAGCCTACACATTTTCTCTGGCTCCTAGATGATGGTGGAAGCCTTCTCATGCTCTCCACTCCTGTTACCATTTTTGCTGACATCAACTAAGAGGAGACCCTAGGAACAGGTTTCTCTTGCACACCTGCCTTCTCTGCAAAGGGAAACCAAAGGCCAATTTCTGCCACAGACACATCCATCAGCCACTGGGACATCGTTTTGATAAACTTTTTTTTAACATGAACAGAAAATGTCACTCTTCTCTTCCTAATCTCCAATACAAACCTAACATTTTGGCTTCACGTTTCTCATGCCTACGAAACACGGCTCTCTAATTTCACACCACCCCACGTTAAGAAAATCCTTTGAGCTAAACTTTTACAGCCCATGATCCATAATCAAATAGGATGTCATGAACCAGGAGAGCTAATGTTTAAAGCAAGAGAAGAATCTGTGTGGACTGTAACTATCTCCACACTTATTAATTCTCTGAATGCAAGCTTTTGCAAGTCTTCTCAAAGATAGGTCTAGCTGGAGATTGATCATCCCACACCCATGAGATCACCCCCAGGCTACTGCAAGACCATGTTGCTGTTGAACACTGGTCACCGAGCAGCTCTCTGGGAGTGCAGAAAGGGATGGAGGAAAGGCACATTCAGAGTCTCAAGAGCTTTCTGAGCTGATGAGATTCTTTTTTCTTTTAAATAGATGAAAACCAGGGAGGGTGTTGGTGACCTAGAGTCTGATTCATGCATTTTTGAAAACACTTGAGATTTGGAAGTATTTCCCCAGCACATCCCCTGCTGATGTGATTATTAGGAGTACCTCTTCTCACTGATCTTGATAGAGGGCTGCAGTCTCCAGGACACGGGATTCCATTATCAGTGGATTTTTCACAAACCCTGACTCCTTTCTGTTGTGAAAGCTGGAGACAGTGCTGTGCATTCTGCCTTGGCATTTGCTTCACTCTGCTGAGCTCAAGCCCTGAGATATTCTGTGGAGAAGCAGTCTGCACTTCTGAGAAGCAGGGGAGCCACTGGTCTGTCTTTTCAGAGGAGACGGCGCAGAAATTTCAATTAAAAATATTTCTGTCACTTCTCCCTGGTTTCGAGAGAAGACAGCAGCTTCCAAAGAGAACGACTTTTGGAAGTTTTTCTCAAATGTTCTCCACGTTCTGTGTTCAAAGTCAATGAAAATGCCTCGTGTTTGTCAGTGTACCCGAATTTCCACTTAAGATGTGCTATACATACAGCAGCCAGGGATAGACGTGTGCTTGATTAAAGACAGACAGTGGATGTCTCAAAAATATCTTTTTACAAATAAAGCCAAATTATGCCAAATATCCTGAAGGAATTTGGAACTAAATCAAATACAATCCTTTTGAGGACCATTTGACTTTTACTTTGTGAGTTTGGGAGGCAGGAAAGTGAGGACAGACCTGGGTGTTGGATCTCAGGGGCCCTGGAGCTGGTCTCCATGGGGGCCTCATCTCTGCCCCAGGACTGGGAGATGCACCTTCAGAATCCAAGGCAGAGGGTGGTGATCAGGCCACCTGGAGTAATCCTGGCCTCAGTGACTGGGATCAGTATGTAGTCTGTTTTAGTCAGCTATTTTGCTGCCATGACTCTAAGATCTGACCAGGACAATTGTAGAGGAGGAGAAGTTTATTTGAGGGCTCACAGTTTCAGAGGTCTCAGTTAATAGATGGCTGACTCGATTCCTCAGGGCTTGAGGTGAGGCTGAACATCATGGTGGGAGAGGGGGTGGAGGAAAGCAGCTCCCATCATGGTGACCAGGAGGCAGAGAGAGAAACTCCACTCTCCAGATACAAATATGTACCCAAAGCTGTGCCTGGATTCCCACCACCTCCAGCCACACCCCACCACTTCAGTTATCCCTCAGTGAATCCCTATCAGGGGAGTAAATCACTGATTGGGTTAAAAGTCTTACAGCCCAATAAATTCTCCTCTGAACCTTCTTGTGTTGTCTCACACATGAGCTTTTGGGGGACACCTCACATCCAAGCAATAGCATAGTCTCTTCCTCAGGAGGTCACTCACTCTTGGAGCAAGGTGTGTGAAGAAAGAAAGTGAGACTTTCTCTTTACCTGTCAGGTGCTTGGTTCAAGGATCTGAGTCAGGAATTCAGCCCATGCACACACACACGAAAGCAACCATCTTAACTGGATGGCAAAGTAGAGAAAGCTGAGAATGGACCTCATCATGACAGCACATCACAAAGTACGTGGGTTTCTGGTTCTACCAATTGACTTTTCCCTCTGTCCTCAGATGTCATCTCATATTACTCCTGCCACATTTCCTGCCCTTGGAGGGATTACTCAATTAGTTATGCACCAGCTACTGGAAACCTTGGTCGTGCTGAAGTTGGAGATCAAGCTTCAATCAGTAGTGAAGACAGCGTGTTGATCTTTCTCCAGAAAGAGAAGAGAATGATGCTGAGATTCTGAGAAGCTCTGAAATTGAATTCTATATCACAGCTGAGCCAGGGACATGGCTGGGATCTGGGATGATGGATAGAGAATCACCTGAGTCTATATTCATCACCATCATCTGGAATGATCATGGGGGCAACAGTTTTCCAGAAAATCATTCAAGCGGGTGTACTTTAGAAGTATTCTTTATTTTAAAAGTAGTTTACATTTACAAAACAATTTCAAACTGGTGTTGGCAGATCCCACACCCCTTCTCTTGGCTGTGACAGTATCTCAGATCTTCTCTGTTCTTGACAGCATCTAAAGCTTAGGAGCACTGATTGTGTGCTTGGTAGACTGTCCAAGACTGGTTGTGTCCAGTCTCACCTCTAGTAGGTTTCAT